CTTGACACTAAGCCCATTCAACAGGCAAGGCGGAACTCCCTCGTCCTTTCGCCCAGTTGCGCGGCGGACACGAGGCTGCTGCGCTCTCTCTCTCGCTCTCGCTCCTCATGGTCGAACTCCACCCCAGGCCGAATCAGCCCTTCTGTTATTTATTCTCCTACTTATTCTGTACAGAATACAATATCCTTCTGCCTTGGTTTCCACGACTTCTATCTTCTTCTAAGGGACCAAGCCTGGAAGATCGCAGCAGTTAGGGTTTAACCGGCTTAGCCTTAACTCCTTTGCGATAAATGAATAAACAATTGTAATATAAATATTAAATGTAAGCGTTCATATATTCCTTTCGGGATAAACATTTTCACTTGTCAACAAATGTACGTCCCAACGAGGAGCGAGCTCGTTGGATATCTAGCCGTCCAGGAAATGTCAACTTTAATGTTAAAATGCTTTATCAGAAAATGTTTGTTTGTTGATTTCGATAAGCAAACCTTTTAAAACATTACCTACCTAAAGGCTTTTATCCTTACATAAAGGCCCCTGTGTAATTCCTTCCGTAAATTTGTATTTAGTTAATCGATTCGGGTGCACGATTATATAGTTTTATGCAATCTCGTTTATATAATATTTATTGTGTGGGCTCGATAAAAGGTGTTTTTTCTCTCGAACAAAAAACTTAAAGTATTTTAGGTTTTTTTACTAATGTAGCTGACATTATTATTTCGGACATAGATTTTTGGCCATGTGACGAAAGTTGGTTGCACCATTTTGGATTGAAAATTACTCTTTGAATACTGAGCGATTTTGCGTAATTCGTAGATAAAAAGCCGCCGTATGCAATTTGTTCACGAAAAATAGTTCCATATGCCAATATTTGGCTTCAAACAGCTCAGGCCTTGGCTTTTCTGTTCGGAGTTCATTTCGCAGCCGCTGTATCAACATCAACTGCGCTGGTACTCAACTTTTGGATTATTAATCCAGTCACCTTGCTGCAACGTGCATGTCGGGGCCAACAATTCCTGTATTTTACCCAGTCAAAAAATTCCTTTAATAAAAACTCAAAACCAATCCCGTGGAAGATAATATATTGTCCTTCCAAAAACTGTACAATGAATCACAGATAACGATGGGGTATGTCAAAGTATTTGTGAAATTAGAGGGAGATCGAACCGAATATATACTTTCTAGATGCAACCACATAGTGCTGATTCTAACATATCCCAACCCATTTTACTAATCTGCCCATTTTAGTTTGCTATCGCCACTCTGTACTTTTTGCAGCAACTGATGTTCGTGCTATTTGACAAATATCGTTAGGACGAATCATGTGCGCATATTACATTTATTGATGACACAATTTATAACGCCTAAGGCAGGCACCTATCCACGAAAATTGCCCGACGATAATGGTCGTTTGTTTAAACGATAACTGCGGAATTTTTATAAATTTATAACTAATTTCGTTCATCAACACTGAACTATTTTGAGTTAGGGGGTAGGCAGTGCTGAATTAAACCTAATTAACCTCTTTGATCAGTTGGCCAGATAGGACAATGAATTTTGAACTTGCTGAATACATTTAGTGTCGGACTGTTAGTAGATACGCCAGTGATATTTCTAAACTTATTTATAGCGTCGTTGAAACGGACATTGCTGTTTATTTTACTAAGGACTTATCACTTATCTGTAAACACTAAGTTTTACCATTAGAAAAATTATTAAGACCTGATAGTATTAAAAACTTAACTAAAATGTTGGTGATTTTACAACTGTTAGGATTTCCGGCCATTATCCAAGATATTATGACTACAAAAGTCCAGCAAATTTTGTTTTTTATTCACAATGTAAATAAAGTGCTCAATAGATCCTTACACAAAACTCGACACTAACTTTTTTACTCGGTCATTCGAAAACAAAAATACTGTTTTACGAAAACTTGAGTCTGCATGTCAGACGACCATACTTCCACCCAGCCCAGCACTTGCGGAGACAGTCATTAAATGGGTGCACGTGGAGACAGGCCTCATTGCAACTTTCTCGCATCAGTTGCAGGGCCTCGTAGCAGTCATCCAGGGAGGCAGTTGCTTCATCCACCAATTTCGTAACATCTAGCATGCGTTCCGCATAGTACTCGGGCGCCATTCTGGCAGCGGCGCCAGTCGTTGCACGAAGGAGCAGCACTGTGACAGATATTAGGACGGTGCTAAAATATTTTTTTTAATACGTGTTTGGTTAGAGTTCCATCGGTATTTGAAATTGGAATAGTCCTAACATTTCCATTCATAAAGTATCGAATCATTTCATGTATTAAAACTGCTAACAGAGAACACAAAATGACTCAGAGCCAATAAAAATGTGCATGAGTTATACGTTATGTCCTCTTATTATCATACAGAAAGTTATTATTGTTTTTACACGGGCACATTAACGGTATTTAGTCTAGTAAACCCCACGTTATGTTTAACAGCAGGCCAGGTTTAGAAATAATCGATAACTTAAAAGTTTCCCAAAAGCAG